GGTTAGAAGTAGGGCTGTAGCGATGCATCGGCTATCACCGGCATCAGCCGCCGGTGGTGCACAGGTTTGCAAGCTACCGATGTCGATGCTCAAAGGAGAGGCCCAAAACTTAAAAAAAAATTACAGTGAACGTGTGGATGCGGCTAGGCGCCGGCCCTCCTGCCTCACTGAAAGCCACTTCTCTCCCGGACAAAAATATCGATCGGATTATACATCGATTGTATCGATGTATCGATTGTATTTCAGCCGATTCTTGGAACTGGCGGAGGAAAATATAATTGCACCTCCTTTTATATTATGCCTTTTGCGAGAGATGTGCCGTTAAACACTCATGACAGCAGCAATAGGTAACAAGTTAACCACTGACGGACACAGACAGACAGGACTAAAAGTGATCTCTATCGTTTTTAGGAGACCCACTGATAAGTATCACATGGCTTCCAAATAAGCCTCTTTGAGTTAATATGCACTTTCATGTCAATTATTTCTCAATTTTCAGACAACAATCGGTTCCGGCACCGGTACCGATGGGTAAAATGATGAAAATTCGGCCATCAGCCCACCAGCCAAATGTGGCCATCGGTACTGCCCTAGTTAGAAGCTTTCATGTGTGAAAAGGGGCGGGGGGAGCAATTCAGTCGTACGTGATCAGGCTGGAAATCGACGAACTTTAACAAAAAATATAAATACAGGGTGTTCATAAAGTGACTACCTATGGGCAACTTTTATTATTATAGACTCTGAAGTAGCCATTTTTTTTTACACTTTGGTAGACTGACAACGTACCGACCTCGGAATAGTGTCAGATCTTTTCTCCTTTGACTTTGGCACGGCCGAGAATTATCATAATTTCCTAAATCTGGTGTTTTATTATTTTTTATTTATTCATATGAATGGAGAAGAAATTCAGACAACGATTTCAAGGAAAATTTTGCGTTCGACCTTATTGCAACAACTTCTTGAAGTTATCATGGTATTGATTGAATAATAGAGCGTTCTAGGAATTGAAAATCATAAGAATTAGGAATTTACTCTACAAATTGGCTCAATGTGTCGACCGCCGATTTCCAGACATTTCTGAGCCCTGGCGATTGCATTGTCGGCAACATCCATGAGAATTCCATAATTTTCTGGCACATGGCACGAGAGATATTCTCTTTCAAGTTGTTCAGGTCTGTGGGTTAGTCCTTGTCAACAATTCCTTTTAAGTAGCCCCAGAGAAAAAGAAATCACATGGGGCAAAAATCCGAAGATTGTGGAGGTCATTTGCCCTGGCTGACAATTCGGAATGCTGCACTCCATGTCTGAACTTGTAATTGAAACAAGGATTTGGAAAATGAATTCTTAGTCGCATTAGAGTGTAGGAACAAAAGATGTGACATCATTCCGAGGTCTAATGATAAACAGCCTACAAAAATAAAAAAGTTGGTTCCCCCAGATTCAGTATGAAAAGTTACCCTTAGGTAGTCACTTTATGGACACCCTGTATTAGCGTGGATGACGTATACAGGCGCCTTTGGGGAGGGGGGGCTAGAAACCCCCCCTCACCCCCCCCCTCCCCCCTCAGCTTAGCAACTTCCTCCTCCCAACTCGGCATTCAAATGTCTTAATGTTATGCCCCCTCCCTAAAGTCGTGCGTACGTCAATGATGGAATGGGAGTAGTGAAGGGGGTTTCAATATTAGGGTAACAGGTGAATATTGGCAACTGTTCGTATTCCCTCAGATTACTCCTATTGAGAAAGATATTTAAAAAAGTAATTAGTTGATAATGTTTTTCTTTGAATAATGCTTATTCTTTCAGAAGAAGGTTTTCGTGTTTCATGATACGTTCATGTTATCGGTACGGTAAGACCTTCCATTTATTGCATTGCAATGTGTTCGTGGCAGTTTGTTACTTAAGACATGTCTTGCATAGGGAGCTGCATGACGGGAGCACACGGGAGCTGCATGACCCTTCGTCGATTATCCGGTCTATCCCGCGAAGTTATGTTTTATTGGATGTCCGTATATAGTGTAGGGTTGTGCCTATTATCACGTTTTCCGATATCGCTCAATATAAATCTTATTGGTGATAATGATTGGTGCATATCGCGATATTTTTAGTATTTGAAATAAATATTTCCACTCCTCTGCTGTTGAAGAAGGGAAATGGAGCTCACGAACTGCGCCATTCGATTTTATTTCAAAATAATAAAGGCTTAAGACAATGAAGGGATTAACTGTTAGCCTTCACAAAACTTATAAGATGGGGGGATATAACGGATAATCTTTAGACTGCAATACTCTCTTAATGCTTTCTTTTCCTGGGAAATTTCCTTGAGGTGAATAGTGAAAATCAGCATTCGGCTTCAGTTAGCCTGAGCGCGATCACATCATGGTCAATTTTTGTGAATACAGTGCAATACTCCGGACTGCACTGTGAATGGAGAAGACTAGTAAGTCTGACTGGAAGCTCATAACTCACCCTCATGGAAAGTCTGTGGAATGAATTTAGAATTCTTGCGATGGATCCAATATCCACCCGGAATATAAAAAAGTACTTGTATGCCTTCATTGCAAGGAAGAAATTCCAGATTCTGGGAATACGACCAATCTCTTGCATCATGCGCACAGGCATCCTCGATTCGAATGCAATGATAACAAACCGAGTCCCGTCGCTAAAATGACGATGCAATCATTCTTTTGAACTTCTCCCGTCGAGATGAAATGAAAGCCCAGTTCTGAGGAAAATCAATCACCAACTGAGTCCAACTAATGCTTTAAAAACCTGGCGTGCCTCTCTCCAGCAGAAAGCAGAGCCGCAGGAGGAAATGTAAGCTTACATCAATGACAAAAGTGGAGAAATGGAGATAGTTGATCCACTAATTAGGTGGAATTATAACGGTAGGAGATATCTGTCGCTTACCACCCACACTCACAAATCCCCGTGAATTCCTGTAACTTTCATCCCATGTGAGCGACTCTTCTCAAGATCTGGATTTACTGCAAACAAATATCGTGCATGCCTTGCGGCAGAGAACGTCGATCTGTTCTCCTTCCTGGCTTTGAACCGCGATCTACAATGATGGAATGCATTCAAGCGCTTTAATTCCACCATGTCAGAATCCATTACCAAAATAAAATGGTTTAATCCTGAAATAATTGTGCCGTCATATTAACCCCCCTCCCCACGGTTGAACCCTGACGATGTCGCGATATCGGGCGATGTATAGGTCGAATAGGTTGGCACGTTAGCACGCTGGCAGGTTAGGCAATGGCCACGTACAATATATTCATGGGTGGATCTCGACTTTTGGCAGGATAGCGTTGGTGGAAATTCCATTCAATATCACAACGCAAACGTTGAACGTTGAAGAGTTGAATAGGCCTACGTCCTCTGAGTGTGCCTTTCTTTCTTGACCGATGTACACAGAGGGAAGAAGGAATTTTCGGGACTCCTGTAAACGGGAAGACGAACGGAATTCCTGGAAGTTCCATTCAAAGGAGAATCCACATGGCGGCGTGTCCAATCGTTTCTGCTGGCGTCACGGATGTCATTATGTAGATCTCGACCGGTAGAACAAAAATGCTAATTGACCCCAGCTTCCCGCAGGCTCACAAGCCCAAGCGGCCAGCACCCACCAGGGAAGGCATGGCTCACTACAAAGGCGATTTCGGGATCATCTCACTTCGGTGGTGGGAACCTTGTTTCTTCGGGTAACTGCCAGATGGCATGCCTGCCGCTCCGGCAGGCAAACCATCTCCGACGGTCCAAAACTGTATACAGTTATCACCTATAGCCCTTGACCTCGCGCACTGCTCGGGTAGGTCTCATGTACCGTTTTATTTCACAACTCGAGATGCATCTGATGAAACTCGACGTCAATGGGCGCGATCGGGCTCTCGTGGGCATTCTCCTCTCGTCAGAAGTCCCTCTTTAAGGGATGCGCTATTGTTTTGAGAAGCCTACTCGGAGCGATCGTGGAATAAGAGGGTATGAAATCGAGCGAGTGAAGGACACAGGCGACTTTCACTGTGAAATGGCCCTAGCGTCCTGGAGCATCGATAACCTCGTATCGGCCTCATCGTTTCCTTGGGAAACTCATGGACTTTGAGTCTCCCAAACTCGGTCTGCTTCTTCCTTACCGATTCCTTTATCCTCTCGGTGAGTCAAAGTCGCAACGCGAAGATGAGAAATCCCGACGGTGTCGGGTCGCATTTCAGGTTCGAGTTGATCGTCGTTTACGAGATCCGAGATGGCGCCGGGCAAGAAAAACTACACCGTCCAGAACGTCCAGGTCCGTCGGCTTTGCATTTCCAACTACGATATCGTAATCCCTACAAGTTCTAGGAAATTTGTAGGGATTTTTCGTCACAATGATCGATTGCAAGAAATTGCAATTCGAGCCGTGACCTATTAATTACAAGTGCTTCCCAAAAACAAATTGTTAATGATAGCTTCGAAGGAAGAAAAATCGCCAAGCCATAAGGAAGATTCCTAGTTTGAACCCAGGAATTGGCGATACCGTGCCTGTACCAGTATTGCAAAATGCTCAAATTACTCGTGCACCTCCCAATCACACGTGTATCCTATTCCTCCATGTATCCTATCCACGAGTATCCTATTCCGCAAAGCAGATTCATCCATAACCTTTTTCGTCTTGGATTGTATCATGTGAATCGTGGATAAAATCAGTTTACGATCGATTTACGAATATGGCATGCATAGACACATTCATTAAAAACTTATAATGAATGATGGGAAGCACCCAGACGAAATCATCCATTCATGACTATGGTAACCGACTCCTCTCTTGCGATCCGCTGAATCTCATCCTGCGTTCGTTGAATCATAAGTTGATCGTCTCCTCGCGCAATTCGAGAAGGAAAAAAATGTATCTCAAGTCTGGTATTACCTGGAACGCATTAAATCGTTGAAATATTTGGACAATCTATATTTGGCGTGATCCGAGTCACTTTGGATTTTCTGAAAAGGCTGAAAAAGTTGAGGGATTTGTAGATGGAATCGGGGACGGTAACAGTGCAGGCGATGCCGGGCGTTCCGACAGTGCTGAGTCCGGTGCCGACCGTACCCTTACGCATCCTGGACGTGGAACCCATCGACGCCGGCACTTTCGGCTCCATCTTCAAGGGATTCATAGACCCCGGCAGACGAAAGATCGCGCTGAAGAAGGTCCTCCAGAACCCCAACTACAAGAACCGGGAGCTGGACATCCAGAAGCTGATGGACCACGTTAACGTCGTCGCCTTGTTCTATTACTTCTACGTTCCTTCCGAAACGGTAAGCCCCTGGCACAGATCGAAGAACCAGATACCTATTCTCGGAGTCGCGAGTGCCGTGTTCAGAGTTAAATTTTTTTAGCCAGGGAGTGATTATTTGTGCATGGTGATGGAGTTCATACCTTCGAACGTGAGCAAGTTCATGCGACAACACCGGGAGCCGGTTCGAAAGCCCTACGATCTCGTCGACGTTAAGGTCGGCCCACTTCCATTTCTCATTGTTCCTTGCTCTGTGAGTCTGATCTTAGGCAGAGAAGCACGTGAAGACGGAATGTGTTTCACTCCCACCCCTCCACCCCCCCTTTTCCCTTAGCTGATTTGTTACCAGATGTTCCGTGGGGTGATGTACCTACACGCGCAGACGATCGCACATCGAGACATCAAGCCTCACAACCTCTTGTGGGACCCGGAACACATGGTGGTCAAAGTGTGCGATTTCGGCTGTGCCAAAAAGATTCTCCCCGGAGAGACGTCCATCTGCTACATTTGTTCGCGGCACTACCGACCGCCTGAACTCTGCCTCGGCGTTACTCAATATTCCCTTATGATCGGTAATTCCATTCAATTTCGTTTGTCTTCCCATTCCATGATTGTCTTTCACGTCTCGAGCGTTTTGCGTACTCTATTGGAATTCCTGCACAGGTCCATGTACGAGGGCTTTTACCATGGGCTTTAACCAAGACCATATTTTCGCAGAGTCGTGCCATGGCAGTTGTGCTGCAAAGAATGATGGCATATGATCTTGACATTGGTTCCTGTATGCAGATTAATATATACTACTGTGCAGTGTTGCGTCAGATCCAAACCTCTGAATACGTGTTTTTGCTCTTTGTTGAGATGGATGTTTCCTTAGAGGTTGAAAGACGTTGTGTGATTCACCATTGTGCGAATTGCTTCGGGAGGATCGTCACCTATCCAATCGTGAACTGTCGTCGATGCATCAAAGAATTCATCGGCACAAGCAACCAACTCTGGTGAGGTGGATGCCGAAGGTTGGGGAAAGCGTGGGTCATCTGCGACTGACTGATGTCCTTCCCGAAGGCGCTTATGCCACCTAGAAACTATGGCCAACGATGGACAATCTTCCTCTTACGCGAGGGCTATTTCAGCTAGAGCGTCAATCGGAGTCAATCTGCGCCTCACTCAGTAGTGAATCATACGACGTTGTTCAATCTCTAAGGAAACATCCATCTCAACGAAGAGCAAAAATACATAGGTTTGGATCTGTCGCAACACTGCTCAGCGGTATTTATTAATCTGCATGCAGACACCAATGTCAAGATCGTATATCGTCATTCTATGCAGCACTACTGTTATGGCACGACTTATTGCGGAACTATAGCCCTGGTCTTAGAATTAAAATAACAGCCCTCGTATGGACAAATGCTTGCTTTTGTTAGGGTTTGGTTGGTGCATACCAAATAACTTGTCAGACCTTCCATCCGTTTAATAAACTCATGCTTCTGCTACTTTTCATTCAAGTAAAGAGAGACGGGACGCTGAGGAAATGAAACAGCTCTGCGATCAGAAGCTTCCCTTTGACCTTAAATTGGTTGGCCTTTTATTTTCTAATTTTTTGACGTCTTGATTGAAAAGTGCCGTATGTTTTGAGCGGCTGGACTTAGATGTACGTGAAGAGCTTTGGAATTTTGTCGTAGATGTGTGGAGCCTGGGATGCGTGATGGCAGAGATCTACTTAGGTCAGGTGGTGTTTCGTGGGAACGACAATCACAGCCAACTGGTAGAGATCATGAAGATCCTCGGGACTCCCACACCAGCCCAGCTGAACGAAATGAATGTTTCTCCTTCCAAAGCTCTCCAGAGCTTCCCCAAGAAGGATTGGAAACAGGTAGGAAAACATGATATAGCCGATGAACCCTCTTCTCCGTGCTAGTTTCTGGAAGTTGGCGAATTTTATGTCGCTTTTTACTGCAAGTCCCAATGAAAAATGGAGGAAGTTGGAACTGCTTTCTCAAAAAAGCAGAGAAGTTTTGTGGGTTTGCATTAAGAAGATGGCTTGACTAATGGTAAGGAGGTTCACTTCTTCACGAATACAAGTGCGGTCGGCAGAAATGGACATTGTCGCTTCCTTATATTCATATCCGACTTGAATCATCTTAGGTTTTATTTATCTTATGAGGCGGAAAATTAAATTAGTCCATGTTTTATGGGGCTCAAAGAAAGTTTCTATGTATGTGAAAGACATGATTAGATAAGACTTGAAATTACATTCAAGAAATTGACTTGTGGTAAGGCTGATGTTTGGAATAAAATATTGAATACAGAATAGACAGAGTCGGACATTCCTTTGCTGGCAGTTGTGATTTGAACGTACTTGCTGTACTGATATGGGCTTCATGACTCCTGCATCAGTAAATCCACCGATTTCATTCATTGCAATTATTTCATATTAATAAAAAAATAATTGATGTAGTTCAAAGTACTTGTTGGAATGATGTGTTGGGAAATACGTGATTTTGGAGACGGCTGTGATGTACACGCTTGGTTACGTGTGCAGCACCTGTCCCTGGGAGACATTCCGCCTTCGGACGATGCGGTCGATCTAATGAGTAAGACCCTGGAGATGTCCCCCGGATCCCGATTGACGTGTGCGGAAGCCCTTCTTCACCCTTACTTCAATGACCTCCGACTGCCCGGCAGAAATCTTCGCAACGGAAGACCTTTCCCTCCCCTCTTTAATTTCAACAACCTCGGTAGTTCCAACTTTCCTCGCTCCTTTCCCTTGAAAGAAAAAAAAATCCATCACTCAGGTGAAAAATCATTTTTTTTTCCCCCTCCTCCCCCCTCTCCCCTTTTACCCTCTCGTGATGAGAACTGAGCATGGATGAGAACCTGAGGAAGCTTCTTTCCCCAGCTGGGTGAGCTCGTTCAAGCTCTTCTTGCCTTTCTTGAACGCCACTTCATATCACCCACCTACAAATTTTAGTGTTTTTTTTTCTTTCGTCGACATTTCATCGAATAAAATATTGTTCAATCTCATGTCGCGTCAACTCTCAGTGCTACAACTTCCTGGCACTGTTGGAGAGTAACAAAGAAACAGAAGCCCTTTTACTAGTATATAAATTTTCTTAAAAAGTAGAGTAAATTGTCACGAAACGATGCACTAACGAAAGTCTAACGAATACAGACGGCATGTAAATGTTTATTCTTTCGTTGCTGAAATGATCATGATTTTCTCTATTGTTTCCGTTTGACTAAATTCACAGAAAATTAGTGATGGGAATGGAAGCTTGGACATCTCTACCCGTGTTTTCTTGGGAAAAATTGCTGCCCGTTGCTTTGGTTCGTGAAGGGTGAGGCTTCCTTTCCCGATTGAGTGGTGGCTAGTTACACGAAAACCATTCTTTGTCATTCTTCCCATTGAAGAATATTGTAAATATTAATAGGATAACGTATTCTAGTTGCTTTTTGGTGCAGTACTAGGCCGAAACCACCCAAAGGCAACAGAAAATGCCCAGCTTTCGGACCCAGAAGCACGGAACAGAGAACGTAACTTGCTTCACATGCGTCTCGAGCCATCACACTAACCCCTACCCCCGAAATAGTCCTAAATCAAAAGCTAGCATCACAGTAAACTTCAATAGCCGTGTATACCATGAACTACTGAATGCAAAGTGAATCTTTGACAATATCAGACAGCAGGTGTTATATTAATGAACCTAAGATTAAAGAAAGATATTGGCTAAATAGGCAATTACCTGGCTGGGCAGTAAACTGCCCCCATATTCCGGCTGATCTTCCTGTGGCTGAGAGGATAGTGTCCTACTGACCCTTCCCTAAATCATCTGCTTGGAGATCGGCTCCTTCAAGTTTAGAAAATTCATCACTGCATTCGTCTCAGTTTTATATCCCTTCAGCAGACCTTTTGGTTATACATTGAAATGAATTCATAGAAGCTATTCATCATTGAAAAATGAGATGCAATTTTGCCAGACTCCATACAAGACATGTCTTTCTAAAAAGAAGTAAGAATTCTGTATTACAACTTGAAATGCCTCGGGTCGGGAACTTTTTGAACGCCTCTCGTACTGCAACCGTATCTCCTAGATGTGGCACATAAAGTGGCGTGTGCGTTACTCCACGCTGAGCAGACACTCCCCATGAAAGCAGGTGGGACGCCTGTCGGCGGAGGAAGAGCCTGCCGCCGCATAGATTTCACTCGGAAGCCAGAACCACTCGGCCACCGAACCCCGGGGTAACTTTTTTTTACATTCTTATATTCTTTGTAAAGGCTTTCTGTCTCTTGTTGCTAACAGGGAGTGTACGCCTTTCTATGGCCACGGGGGATGTTCGCGGCGATCCTCGGGAGGTTCGAAAAACGATCGAAGTTCTCGGACAATGGTTTTTGGTGTCGATTGTGGTCTCTACTTGGGCAGTGAGTCGAGGCCAGTTAGCCTTCCTAAAATTTCAAGATGGGATCGGCTTCGAAGTTATTGATGGTACTTCGATCCCCACGTGTATCACGGCGGGTCGGGAAGTTTCCTGCGACGAAACTTGCGTCTTATATGGGGAAACCGTTTATGTCTCTGCTATCGAAGCAGAGATAGGGATTGTACTCCCGTTTCCATTCGAGTGGCGGAGTGGAGCGTGCCCTTGCATTTTGGGTTGAACAGGAAGTACACGTCCTCTGCTGAGGTCAAGTCCATAATTGTTTCGCCGGTCGTGTCGTTTTCACTATTGTTCCACTCGGCGTGGAGACTATTAAAGTCGCCTTTATAGACGGCCGGGTGATCGGCATGCAGCAGGACGGGAGATGGCCACGGTGTATTTGATGGTTTATACAGATTTATAACTGTCACATTTCCCACTTTTGTGGTAATGGTGGCTGCGTTGATGTTGCATTCGGTGCTGAGGATGGTGTAGTCTTTCGTTTCGTCCTTGACGTACGTCGAGATGCCGAGATGGTGAACTGAGTCGACGAATTTGTAACCAGGGGCCGTATTCAATATAGGTCTTATCTCAGTCTCCTATGCTTAGATTTGAGCAGGCCACTAACTTTTCGCGGCTAAGCACCCTACTTGAATGGATGACCCTATTCAATATCTTAAGCATAGCATCCAGCTGAAGTGGACTGCTCAAATCTAAGGAAGGGTCCCCCATCACTTATGTGTGCAGAGTGGATAAGTGGGCTAGTGCATAACATGAGTAACACTTTTATTCAACTGCCGAATATCTTCTAGAGAAGGGCACTTGTTTGCGAAAGAGCTCTTCGCCAGATAATCAACCCGATCGGCACAGTCACGTTGATGTCAACGTTGAGAAAAGGTTGAAACGTTGAGATTTGGTTAAAGTTGAAAATCCGACGAAGAATCGACATCAAACCGCAAATCATATATGATGAGAAAAGAATTTGCGCTTAATAGCCACGAAACGACTTCGCTAATCCACGAGTCGTCACAATATGCTACAAATACTGTTAATTACGAATAGCCAGCATTTCATTGACGTCGATTCTTCGTCGGATTCTCAACTTTAACAAAGTGTCAACGTTTCAAACTTTTCTCAACGTTGACAAAACGTGGCTGTGTCGACTGGGACCCCGCTTGATGCTTATTACGACTCTGACTTGTACAAGTGTTACCGATTTGACATGAGCAGCATTCTTTTCCTCACTGGCCTTCAAGAGGACGTAGAAGCAGTAGCTCCCAGAAATCACCACATAATCCATGCTATTCAAATCTGTGTTGGTTCACAGTACTTTGTTACAGGATCTTTTAAAACTGCTAAATGAGCGACTGTATGGAACTTCAAGAGGACGTAGAAGCAGTAGCTCCCAGAAATCACCACATAATCCATGTTATTCAAATCTGTGTTGGTTCACAGTACTTTGTTACAGGATCTTTTAAAACTGCTAAATGAGCGACTGTATGGAAGTCTCCCATGTTTCTGCAAGTAGGATATTGTGGAAGGTTGTACTTGCTATGAGAGCAAGGTTTCACATTTTGTGACGCAACCAGATGATGGTCAGATGGCACAATAAAGGGATGCCTTTGATCAATTCCCAGGTGTAATTGACGTGATCCTCGGTATTCAGTTAATGAGCTTAATTTCTTCAATCACAAGGGTATTCGATAAACGTCATGTGCGTTTGCAACAGTGCATATGAGATCACATGTACAAGCTATGTCTGCCCGCTGGCCGGTGGTGTCCACGATGTCCAGGTACGCCACTGGCCAAACGAGTGCGACATAATGGAGCACATAGGACGACCATGGTGAAGGTAATATTTGGGTAGGGGAAAATGAGGCTCCATTGCCTACATTCACAAAAGGTCTGAGGACTTCATGACTATTTGAATGTATTCATGGATGAACAACCGAATGAAGATCCAGATGGAGATGCATACCAAGACCGTTTGGCACTGGCATGAACCCATCACAAAGTCCTCTTGATATTTAACAGCAAAACCATTTGCTCTTGTAGGTTAATATTCGCTTTTCGTTTGAAAACTGCCATGCTGACACGGAAAGAATAGGGCCGTTCCAGGATGTAACGCTTGCTCGGCGTCCCTTAGCACTCTGCTAGGATAAGCAGTGTGATAAGACGGATATTGAATGACTGAGTTGAGTACCCTGCTAACCTTAGCAGACACCTTAGCAGGGTTCTAGGCTTACTTTTAAGAAATATATTGAATACGGCCCCTGGTCCGGGTGGCCGATCGATCGACGGTCGCTCCGAAAGCGCGGCGAACGTCGCGGTCTTCGTCGTCTCCGGCGACGATCGAACCGGTATGGAATTCCCGAGTCGAACGCGGTCGCGTCCGTTTCGCTTCGTCTCGATCCCGGACGACGGAAGCCCCGATACGCCGAGAGGACCTGGGGTACCACGACCTTCCGAATGGCAGGAGTCCGTCGGCGTCGCGAGGAAAGTCGGCGATCTCGCTCGAGCCACCGAGCAGGGCGGTCGAACGAAGGAAATCGACTTTCGACCTCCTCTCCTCGGGCCGAAAATACCGAGGATCGTTCTTCGCATGCCTCACGCGATCGGGCTCTTTCTAAATTCGGCGAGGACGTTTCACGGGGACGCGAAAGCGATCTCCTTTCGTTTCGCGTTCGCAAGGAGGCGACGAGAGCGACTGATATCGCACGGACGGCATCGCGAAGGCTCTGGTCTTCTTCTCCCAGAGATATGACGGGACCGGTGACACATGAATGGATCTCATGAAAATGTAGGAGTGGGGCTTGTAGCCCCGGTATCGGGCCCCTCGAGGCACGTCGAGGAAAGCGTCATTGTATGCTGGGATTCATCATTCCGTCCGAAGGGGTATCCATCTCGAAAGAGGGGGGTCGGGACGTGCGACCCGTTTCAAGGTTTCGCTCTCCTTGCTTCCTCCGAGCTCGCATCGCATCGCCTCGTCTCTCTCGCTCCTCTCGCTTCGTCCCGGTCACAAGTGCGCGCTCGAATACGGTGTCCGTCCCGCAAGCGAATTCGCGATGGCAAGACCGTTCCTGCGATACACCGGTGAGCTCCGGGGATCTCTTCTCGCGAGTCTTCCGATTTCGAGTGCAGAGCGACATGCGTTTTTCCGCTACTAAAGGTCGGCGGGAGAGTTCCGAAGACATCAACATCGAGGGAGGGATCCATCTCTCCAATTTCCAGAGGCAGAAGTTGACCTGGTACTTCGAGAAGTTCTTCGACAGAAACAGCGACGGAAACTTCATGCAGGATGACATCGTCAACCTCTGCGAGGTTCTTTTTTTGTGACGTCGGGCGCGGATGGGAACGCGACGGACCGCCTCGAAATACGGCTCGGAACGATCGTCCGTTGCAGAAAATGCGGGAGTACAGGGGATGGGGGGAGGATGATCGGGATTTCCTGGACCTCATGGACACCCACAACAGCTTCCTCGAGTGCCTCATGGACCAAGTCCGAATGGAAAAGGGTAATAAGAACGTCCTGATTCCATCCACGAATTCATATATCCTTGCCTTTACTCTCCCCCCCTCTGGCCGATTCTACTCTTTTTCACTGCTACTCTCATTATTGCCAGCGCGCCTGCATTTCTTCACACGATAAATCAGTCCTGTAAATCGAATCTCTATCCTCCGCGCTCGGTGTAAGGCCAAATCTTCCTCGTTTTGTCTTCGCGCTTTTAGTAGCAACTGTATTTCCCGAGTTGCAGAGATTCTCGAGGCGATGCAGCGCGATAAGCTTAATTTGATAGGGTCGTTCGGGTCATCGAAACCTTTCAGTTACACATAAAAAGAAATACAAAAAATGAAGTGCGGGCAGGTCTAGCTAGGAGGAGTAGTAGCAGCAACTCCTGCTAGACGTACCGCGTTTCGGAATCTCGAGCGGCGAAAGGAAAGAAAACCTAACGAAAGATTCCTACACGGTCGGCATGCTGCGACCGTACGCAGCCCAGACGACGGGGTCGAAGGTGGAATCCGTGACGAAGAGGGAATGGCTCAACATGTGGGGTCGCTTGATCTCCGGATGCACCGGAGTCGCCGACTTCCCTTACTGGGTCCAACTCCTTCCGAAGTCCCTCTTCAAGGTCATCGACAAGAACGGTGAGCTCCCCTTTCTCTCCGTCTTCCGTCCGGGATTCGCTTCCTTTCTCACTTTTCCCATCGCGCGCAGGAGACGGGAAGATCACCATGGACGAGCTCGGCGAATTCTATCGCAATTTCGCAGACATCCCCGAGTCCGAGTTGGAGGAGAGGACCAAAATCGGATACAACTCCATGACGGCCGTAACGAAAGCCCATCTCTCTCTCTCCCTCTCTCTTTCCGTTCGCCTTCTCGGTTCCCAGCCCGTGCTCGTTCCTGTTCCAGAACGGGGATTACGAGCTCGACTACGACCTCTACGTCATGAACTTCAGCAACTTCCTCCTGGGTCGAACGATTTACGGGCCTGGCAAATACATCTTCGGCTGCTTCGACATCTCGGACCAGAAGAACAAATTCAAGATCCAATACGAAGAACCCGTAGGTGCTTGATCCTCTGTGTCGTCCTCTTCCCTCATTCCTCACCCGTCTTAGAACGCTCACCAGTACCTGCGACTCCTTCTCCTCGCTTGCATATCGTACGATAAGTCATGTAAATTTACTTTATCGCTTTCAACCTGTCCATTTCTCGTTCTCGTTTTGCTCATGCTCTTAACTGTATCCATTTATCGAGAGTATATTCTTCATACCCTTCGACACCGTTTCCCTCATGAATTCTAAACGCACAGGAAGTGACGAACCAGGCGCAGTACAGATAGGTATATATATATGTGTGTATTCTCATCGACATCCACGTTCCATAGATGGACGCTCACACGCACCTGAGGAGTTGCGAACGGTAGGATCACGTCACGATACAGGCAATCGATATGATTTGCATCGGGAAGAAAGTCGGGTGAATGCGACGAAAGAAACGAAAGGGAAAGAAGACGCACCGACTGGACGCGGAAGACGGATCGTGTTAAAATCGGACGAGGAGTGGCACGAGTTTGGGAAGGAGTTCCCCACCACTCCTTCCTTCGAGCGACGACAGATCGCTCGAGACCGAGAGATTCCTGCGCTTTCGTTTTCGTTTTTTGATCACCCAGAGGGAAAGGGAAATAGAAAAGTAAACTGAATCCCAAATGTAAATGTAGTGTGTTTTGAAATCCCAAAGGAGATAACACACGCGGCCTTCCGCGAGAGCGGACCGTAGGCATTCGTCGGCGATCGTCGTCACGAGCCGTCCTCCATCCCCCGTTCTCCGCGTCAGTCAACGTCAAAGTCTTCTTTGGAATTTCAAAGAGCTACTTCTTTGTGAACATCACAATGGGTGGGAGGTTAAAAAAAAAACAACAAACAAAAACAAAAAACTGGAACACTTTCTTATTTTCACACGACTTCACTGCTCATCGAGACTTACAAGTATATATTTGAAGGGTATATTCTTCATATACGAAAATATAGACACTTCAGTGTAGAAACGATGATAGTGACAGCGACAGTGCTTTGCATCGATTCAAATGCTCATTTGACAGTTGCAGTACACACGATTGGAAACATCGAACAACATTCTCCGACTGAGAAAGCTGCTCGATGCGAACACAAATATCTAACAGTGAGAATACGTGAAGAAAATGGCAGTAAAGCGCCGTTCTCACAGAAACTTCAAGAGCACTGGTTTCTGAACCTTTGGCATATATGTGAACCGTGTCGTTTACGGATAAGCTATCTTCACCAGACGATGGAAGCTCAAAAAAGTCCAGAATCCGGCAATACGGACTCGATGAAACCTATCACGGAAGCTCGTTTTGGCATGGACTTACAAGTGTTCCAGTTTTTTTCCTGCGCCTATACATCAACAGTTACAATTGGTAGGGAACCGGGAGTGTTTGAACATCTTCCTGGAGGAAGACGGAAGGTTAGAATCGGAAGAGAGTCGGAAGATATCGTTGGGGTCAGTCCCGGTGCCGGTAGGGATTCTCCGATCCAGAGCCCTCTCGATGCGCATCATCACCAGATCCAGGAGCATCTCCACCGCCTTGGACACGTTCTGCCCCGACGCCGCGCTCGTCTCCACGTACGGCAACCTGCGAGGCGTCCCATCGATGCGCGTGAGCGGACGGAGGCGGAACGAGGACCAAAGAAAGGGCTCGCGGTCTCACCCGAGGCGCTGTGCGACGTCACGTGCCGTCTCGCCCCCGATCACCCTCTCCTCCTCCAGATCCGCCTTGTTCCCGCAAAGGACTACGTCCGGATCCTCACAGTACGCGTGGGTCTGGGAGAAAATCGGTGTCACCACCGCCCTTCCGAAGCCTCAAAGAGAACGGTGGACCGTATGTGTACCTTCAGCTGATCCAGCCAATCGCGGACGGCAAGAAGAGACTTCTCGTTAGTCAGGTCGAAGAAGAGGAGGAAGCCCATCGCATCCCGATAGAATGCCGTCGTCAGACTACGGAATCTGAAAACCCCCCACCCCCGGGAGCGACGGCACGTCGTTAGTGGAAAGAAAGCCGAGAGGGTTAACGATGTTATATCGAAGGGGTAAAGCGAAGAGAAAGAAGGAGAAAGCAAATTTAACAGACTCGGATCTACCTCTCTTGTCCGGCCGTGTCCCAAAGCTGGAGATGGATTCGCTGGCTTCGCCCACAGTAACCGTCCGTCCCCCTCAGACGATGCACCTACGCGAGAAACACCGAACGTCACCGAACGAACGAACGGAAGGAAGGAGGGTTCGCGACGAAGGGAAACAGACTCACGACTCGCTTCTCGCGGAAGTCGATCCCGACGGTGGAGATGAACTTGGAGTCGAAGATGCCATGGGTGTATTGATGAAGGAAACTGGTCTTCCCGACTCCGGAATCCCCCAGGGCGAGGAACTTGATGAGGTAATCGTAATCGATCCCATTGGTACTGGACGTACTCCCTCCTCTCATGACTCTTCGATCCTCTCCATACACTAATCTCTCACTTTCTCTCTCTTTCGCTCCCACTTGAACGCACTCTCCTACACTACAACCTATACTACTGATCACCTCATATGAAGATTTCCATAAAATGAGAATAAATCAACGTTTCAAGACAAGAAGCATACGAACGCGAACCGGAGTCTCTTCTCAAGAAAAAGGTACCAGTTCAGACAAGGAGCACTTGTTGAAATGGCACTCTGACATTCCCTCAAAAAACTTGATCCAGTCTATTTCAATAGCTACAGGGCATTCCACGTTGACTCGACCAGATTTTTCACTTTTTGTGCTTCACCATTTCTGCTTTAATAATTAATGTCATTTTGATTTTGATGGCAATAGAAAGAGCAAAGTGGGAGCTAAAAAGACACATTGAGTACCTCTCTGGCTAAAATAGGAGCGAATTTATTGCATGAGTTATGCCATAGCAACCCAGGAGGTGCACCGTGGTGCCTAAACTAGCAAGTGCTTTATCATCTCTCATTTTGATCCTATTTCAATTAAATCTGATATTCATGCTTGGATCCATTATATCTCACTTCTTCCCAATTTTCAAGAAACCAGAAATGGTCAAGTTCACGGTTGAGTTGATGTGGAAGGGGCCTTGGAGGTGAACAAAATTTTCATGAAGTCACAACACTCCAATCACCCTGCCCGATTCTACAAAGTCATGATGTCAGAAAGGCTTTCATTTCACTAGATTTGGTACCAGCTAACAATAAGCATGGGAATGTGGTAGAGAGACGTCCTCCTCATCGGCTGGGAAGGGCTTGAACTGGAGCAAGATTGAAAAGAACATCCATAGATCCAGTTCCACTGTGGATGGGCCTCCCAATTGCCAATCGTGCAGACGGAGAGCCCAAATAATCCTTCGAACCTAGAAATAACAGAAATGTCAGGCAAGAAACAAGTTTCACATTTGTCCTGCATGTTTAATAGCCTGGGGCATAGATGAACAGGGTCATGCAACCTGGGCTATTCAATCGTTTCTCAATGTAAATTTTTCTGCAGCAAACAGTAGAGAATCATTCAGTAATAACAGCTTGATGATACTGCAGCAATATTCTGAATTTTGAAACATAATACACACTCAAAATTTGTCATCTTGCACAGCCTCATCCACTACACCCAGGTTACCAGATACTTACCAGATATGATAGCCTGTCGAAGGAAATTGACAGTGGTTTCAAAGCTCATCTGTTGAATTGGGGATGCACTTGCTGCAATTGCACGTCGATTGAACGGCTGATAAGTCCCATCATATGTCATGTAATCAGCAATCAATGTGAGATGTCGGGGGTCAATTGCGATCCCATACACTCCGAAGACACCTTGGAGTTCCTGTCAAAGTAATGTGCTATCAAAGTAAAAGTAGGAAATTATCTGAGCATAGAGTTAAAATAAAATTAAGTTTGATCAGGCATCTGTAGAAGAAAGAACTCACTGAAATTTTAAAATTAGTTGATAATTATTAAATTAAATTAGAGCTTACTCCGGCTTATAATCTCAAGCTGTGCTTTTGGAGTCAGGCCACATGTGGATATTTTAAAACATGAACTCAAATATTTTGGCCAATGATATGTCTTATGAATGTAAGCAAAGAATTAAACAGGGATTTCAGAAGTTAGGGATGATTGAGGTATTGAAATTTGTTTTATGAAAATGAGATACTTCTGATTATAACATTTACTTTAAAAATTTTTAGGTACAACTTTTCCTAATGAATGTTATATTTAAAAAATTAATGGTTTCCTTCTCCATAGTGCGGTGTTCACATCAGAAATTTGTCATGCAAATGGTTCCTGCTGCTCTTGAGTGCAGCAGGTTTTCCAAGTCAAATCTAGTTAGCCCTGCAGAGCCCATAGAAATAACCCATGATTGATGTCATTCTGCCATCAAAGTGAAATGGAAGATGCATGAGATTACTCAGTTACCTTACAATATTTCTCAGTGAGTTTTGTACATTTTACAGATTGCTGCCACTAGTAATAAAACGATTTGCACCTCATTCAAAATTATTCAGAGACATTGCATAAACTTTTGTAGCCTTCTTAAAATGGATAGGGAGAAGGTAGTGGAGAAAGTGATGCACTACATATAGATGATTTGGAAATATGTATAAATTACTTCGTCTCTATTGTGTAGCAACTTGCACCAGGTGCAATAGCCAATCAGAAAAACTCATATTTAATTCTTGCATGAAAAGTGCTTCATGCCCAACCAGGGATTGAAAAGGAGGATACAATTGGAAAATTTGACAGTAGAGATTCAGGGTGACACAGTACTTTGATGATGCAGTGGGATGCTGCTTCAATCCCATACATGTCAGCCATCACATGGATGTGGTTGGTGTGCAGTTTCTTCAGATTCAACACGTCTCCATATTTGAACATTTCCTGGGAAGGAGATAGAGGGAGAGACTCTAATCAGGATAAATACAGAATGAAGCAGAAGAGATGGATGAAAATGAAAAATGGATATAGACAAGCATATTAATGCCATCAGTCTTCAACAGGGGCACAACTCCTTTATCCTTAACCACGATGGCCTTTTGAATCCCTGGGATCTCGTAAACGACATCCTTCCGTGCCAATTCTCGGATGAGGGTCCAGAAATCAGCTCTTCCCACCACCAGGTCCATCTTTCAAATCCATCATATACACTTTCATAAAACCATCTGACTACAAAAAAAGTATTCCAAGAGCATTAGGAAGGAAATAGGAAATATGAGGGAAGCCTGACCATGAAGTGGATCTCACACCACCCTTCAGATTCCATGTCATACTTGTAATTAAGAAATAGAGGACTCTGGCTGAGGACAGCAGCCTGCCTCTCCATGCTCTCATCAGTCTCTTCCCATTCTTCTTCCATTTCTTCCTATGACACAGATATTAAATTCATTTATAGTGCTTCCATCATTCTTCCAAGCATTGGCACCAATGGACAAGTCACAGGAGAAGACCTCAAAGGGATGACCAGGATTCACTTCATCCTCCTCTTCTTGAGCTCCTAATCTTAATTCTCCTTTTCCTCTTGGACTTCTACTTTCTTGCCAAGCTTCCTCAGGTTCCTCCACTCCCCCATTATCTCCATCATCCACTTCTATTTTATGGTTCTCTCCTACTTCTCCTTCTACTCAATTCAAGAACAACCTCTCACTTGAGTCTGCTGAAACTGGGAAAGGAGCTTCAACTGAGGTTTCTTCTCCCTTCATTGCTACAACCAAGGGTCACATACCTTCAATGTCATCATAGTTGCAATCGCCATCTGGAGAGGGGAGTTCATCGGCTGCCTCATACTCCAGCTGGTCCGTACCTCGAGTTCTACGTCGAGATGCAGAGGAATCTTCTTCTAGGGCATCGTCCAAGTCACTCCCTCCCTCATCTCCCCCTGCATCCATGTCTTCTGCCACTTGCATCTCTTCTCCCTCTTCATTTCCTCGTCCAGAACGTCCAAATTTGGCTGTAGCCAAGCTAGACTCCTCTTCTGATGCCATATCCAATGACCTGCTCCAAAAAAAAGGGACATAGCTGAGGAGCCTTAGAGAGAAGACAGAAGAGGATGGTAGTAAAATGAAACTCACTTAGATGTTTGATTAGAGGTCTTAAGTCGCCCAACAGCAGCCCTAATGAGGCGTTTCAAGAACACCTTCTCCATGTGATCAAGAATTCTATGAGCTGTGAGCACACACTTCTCCCTATATAGATCCTCAGCCAAAAATGTGAAGCGCATATGATACACTCTTCCACTGTAAAGGAAAAATAAAGAGAGAACAAGATGTAATCAAAAACAAAAAAAAAAGAGATCACAATATCTGCCAAAGGAAGGAAAAAAAATAAGGGAGAGAGAGAACCTCCTGCCTTCCATACTGATCTCTTCTTGAACATCCACCTTGTGGAGGACGTCAGCAAGGGTGACTCGAGTGAACTTGCGAGCCAGGTCTTCTAAAATGGGACCAGCTTGGAATCCAAGGTGTGGTAGAGCAGGGCATTCCATGGATGGAGTTCGAAGGTTTTTGGTGGCATCCATGAGAATTTCCCTGAGTCGGGGAATCCCCAGAGTCACATTCATCTCTCCTCGTCCAGCAAAGTGGAAAGTGTTCAATGTCATCTGCGTGCTTGGCTCTCCAATTGACTGCAGACCCCAGAACATACCAGTTAACCATCAGTTGAAGTCTGGAAGATCTCATTATCCAGCAGCATGTTTCATAATTGGGGAAGGGAAGTAACCTGAGCAGCAAGTACTCCCACAGGATCCCCAGGAACAGCCATGCCCTTCATACACTCAAGGTACATCATGTTCAAATATTCAGTCTTTGGTAGATATGCGTTGACTGCTCCTTCCTCTTCCTCCTTTCTTTTCCAATAACTATTGATGACTTCCTCCATATTCTCACTAATAGACCCAAAAATTCGAGAGGGTAGGAAGGCACCTGTGATGGGGTCTGGGCGATGCTTACTAGCCTTTTTGTACCTAACAAATGAAAATAAATAAAATTTTAACACAATCCCATTACCCTTTCACAGGAGTAAAGTCAAGCATAATCATGAGATGTTTACTGGTGATGAGAGCTGGGGGAAGCATCCCTCCAGAGCTTCACCAGCATATGTGAGGCTCTTGTACGACCTCGAGGTTGCTTCTGGTCTCCCTTGCTTGATTCCTTCATCTTGACTTGGTCAATGTGATCCCTGCTGAATAGGGTAAAAGCAGAATACCACTTGGAAGGATTTGGTGAAGTTAGCACAGAGCTCCTGTGACGCTCCCACCGACGCAACTGCTTCTTAGCCTTCTCCAGATCAATCTTTTCATCAGGGGTAATAGTGTTCTGCACCTGACTCAGCTCTTCCTCCCGATAAATGCTGTCAGCATTTTCCACCAAGAACTGAATTTTCCCATTCTTCAAGAACTGTGTCTTGGTCACATCCATCCCATCTTCCCCATATAGGAACTTGACGGAAGATCAATGGCCATTTCATGCAGAAGTAAACAACAACCACAGACATGGAAAGAGGAAGAAGAGGAATGCCCCACCTGGATGATGCTGCCATCAGCATCTCGTACGGTTGTGTCGTATTCAACAGTGAGACCCTCCAAGTGCTTTATGAGAGAACGTTGAAGGTATCCACTGCGACTGGTTTTCACTGCTGTGTCGATCAGACCCTGCAGAACCATAGAGAGCCAGAGAGGTATTAGTATTTGAAGAAGACAATGAATGAAAATGGGCCCCAGTTGGATTTTATACTTGCCTCACGACCTGCCATGCAATGAAAGAAGAGTTCCTGGGGTCCTATTCCAGTGAGGTAGCGACCTGTAACAAAGCCGCCAGCACGAGGGGACGTGTCATAAGCTGGGAAGGATGGGAGTGAGCGACCAGAGATCATCAGTGGTGGGCGTTTCCCTTCCAATTCCATCTGACCCAGGAGGCAAGACATTTGCATAGCATTCACCATAGATCCTTTGGCACCAGATACCACCATAAGATGAAGGTTGTTTGCTGGGAATGCCTTCACTAATCCATCTCCCATGCAGACCCTAGAAAGCAGGGCTCTCAGAAATGAATTATGACATCAACTCTCTCTTCCTGAGAATAAGAATCAGTCCTCTGTGTCTCACTGATTGATTTTATTGTTGTACTTGTCCAGGAAGGTCTTGTATGCCCTATCCAGACGCTGGAGCCCCAACTTTTCTGACATACTCAGATGGGCTGCTCGCATCTTCTTCCCAATTCCATCAAAGTCCACTTCTAGTGCAGTTGATGCCACTGTTGGACCAACCTAAATGATGAGCAAGTCACAGTAAGCCTACTTTGAGTTCAGGTTCCAATAGATGGAGATGGAGACAGGAAGAGACCTTGGTAGATTTGCGAGCAATCTTGCGTCTCAAGCGCTCTGCATCAGGATGGACGAGCACATCCCTGATACCAATGGAGAACCCATGTTGTTGGAGATAAAAAGTCAAGAGACGCGAGAAGGAAGACATTAGCGTCACACAAGAGTCTCCTCCATACAACTGAAAGGGAAAGAATATCTTTCTTTTCTCTGCCAAACTTGTATGACTGATATTTATGTTTTACAATATAGGACCTGATTGACACAATGGAAGAGAGAATATGAGGAAGAGCCACACTGACTCTTCTCCAGGACTCCTGTCAAGAGTTCACCATTCCGAATGATCACCTGTCCCTCACCCATGCAGTGGTCTGATGGGAATGGCCCTCCTCCAGCCTTCCATTCATGCCTAACTCCATTCTGCCAAGTCTGAAACAGGCCTATCTTTTAAGAGTAAGCACTGAAGGTGGTCAAGGATGTGCACTGAAGTTCACCTTCTCCTGGATCTTGGTTTGACTCAAGAGATTGATGGGCTCTTTGTTGGGTGGAGTAAGATTGATGAGGATGGTGGAAATGACTTGCTTCCCTGACCACATCATTTTTGGCTTCAAAATGCTTGCAGGCAGCAAGAAAATTCTCATGTTCTGACTCTCCAGTCCACTCCAAACCAACTGAATGTATTCCTCCCTGCCCGGGACAAAGAAGTAGCTTCCCTCCTTGAGTTTTCAATTCATCAATTCATCCAGGGGACAAAGACAAAAGGCTCAGCCTCACCTGGAGAAGAATCTCCCACGGACAGTGAGGAGGACAGCTGAAATGATGTGATCTTGAATGAGACCTGGGAGGGGTGTCCCATCTTTTGGCACCAAGTAGTTATGACTTACCCCAGCTGTTAACATGACACACATCCCATACTGATGATGACAGAAGAAAAAGGCAAGATATCATGGGGTTATGGGGAAAAAAATTTGCTTATTCCTCTTTACCCTATCAAGAAGTTCCAACAAATATCCTGACGAACTGGAGTTAAAAAGAATCTTATGCTTTTCTGATCCACCATCAAGGAAGTCTTAACATTCAATGTTTTCTGGCAGGTCCTATGTCTAGTCTCCCCCAAAACAATGTTATGCTAGTCCATGAAATTTTGTCTACTCTTCAAATGATTATAAAGGGACTTCAAAGAACACATAAATGCATCATGTAACAACCCTCCAAAAAGTGAAAATGTCTAACTTTGTTTCTATTTGGTTCTCAAAAAAAGTAATATAATGTTAATTGTGGGGAATTTAAGTGGGGAATATCTTGGACAGAAGTCTACCACTGGAGTGAGGATTTACTTAGTGAAAGTAATAATTAGTGTTTGTGCAAGAAATTTACTACTCTTTTTTGAGTATATGCAAATAATTTAAGCTTCCTGTTTATATAGGGTAGTTAAAAAAAACACTCTCTCTGCGAGAAACACAGCTTCATAAATGTACCAAAAAAATTACAATTACAATTGATATTTGACATTTACAAGGTGTTGAAATGCTTGCCAGCTTTTTTTCAGCACCCCTGCCTAAATTGTGCAATGCCCATTTAGAGATGAAATAGAGGTACTTGAAGATGGATCATTCCACCTCAAGTGAAATGATTACGTGTACTCAACTATCTCAGAATGCAATGAATTTTTAAATTTAACTTTTCAAGGGACAGTTGGATCCAGCTGATACTTGACAGAGAGGTTCATGAGTCGAAGGGGTTTTTTTCACTTCCACAAGATGGTGCTGTATCTTGATAGAGGGTGCTGCTGTTGACCAGGTGATGGAGGGTGACTTAAAAAACGGCTTAATGCTCCACCTGTTGACTGTGTAACAGGACAATACATGGCTCATAAAATTGTTCAGAAAAAAAAAACAAGGCAATCTGTTCAACACCTCCTATTTATCCAATATCAAGAGTTCATGAATCTCATATTTTTTACTTGAATACATGAATTGTACTTTCTCCCCTTTGAAAATGGTGGAACTTTCTTTTAAATCACCCTCAATCACCTGGTGAAGAGCAGTGCCCTCTATCAGGATACAGCACCATCTTGCGGAAGTTAAAAAAACCCCATTTGACTCATGAACCTCTCTGTCAAGTATCAGCTGGATCCAACTGTCCCTTCAATTTCAATTTAAAAAATTCTTTGAATTCTGAGACAGTTGAGCACATGTAATCATGTTACTTGAGGTGGAATGATCAATCTCTAAGCACCTTTAATTCACCTCTAAATGGGCATTCCACAACTTAGGCAGGAGTGCTGAAAAAAAGCTAGCAAGCATTTCAACACCTTGTAACTGTCAAATATCAATCGCGTATCCAATGTAATTTTTTTTGCTGAATTTACGAAACTGTGTTTCTCCCATAGAAAATGGTAGAGCGTTTTTCTTGAACCATCCTATATTCAACTCAAACTTGAAAAATAGCTTGAAATATACATATAAGTAAAAACCCACCTGAGAGTGTTTCTCCATGATGGATATATATGTGTCATACCTACTTAAGAAGTTAATTTAATGACAGGCTTCTGCATCAAATTCCCTGAGCTCCAAATGCATGTAAAGTTCTAATAATAAACAATAAGTTCCAATGAATCTATTTGAAGTGGAATGGACTCTCACCAATGTTACGGCCTTCACTGCGAGCCAGTTCATTCTGAGGGAAGTGGACATTCATCTCATCGCCATCAAAGTCTGCATTGTAGGCCTTGCATACGCCATAATGAAGACTTAATGTGCGACCTGTGCTCAGCACACGAACCTTATGACCCAAGATACTGGCCCGATGCAATGTTGGTTGCCGATTCACTAGTAGGACATCTCCTGACAGCAGGTGACGATACACCTATTCAGATAAAACTTCTAATAATAAAAAGTCTTGATAAAAACAAAAGGCTTCTATTTCCTAAGTCACAAAGGAAGGAACACTGAAGCAGAGGACAAACCACTTTTGATCTATTTAATGTTTCAATGCTGCCTTTAGACATGAGGAGCTTCCCTGCAATAGCTTTTCGCTGCTTGAGATTCCATGGAGACAATCGATGCACAGTCCCATCTTCATATTCCACTTCCAGAGCACTGTGTTGGAAAAGTAATTAAACTCATTGAGGATGAGTAATCAAATCCACTCAACCAGTCTTGACACTGAAAATATAATAGCTGGTGCTTCTTGTCATGGATGCCATTGAACACATAAGAGAGGTGACATACCCAGGATAGTTAGCAGGGCCATTAAGGACAGCCTGTTGAAGTTCTTCAACATTCCAGGGAGTGACAACGGTGGGATATGAGAGCCGAGTCGCCATCACTTGAGGGATCCCAATCTCATCCACTCGCAAATATGGATCTGGAGTGATGACTGATCGTGCAGCATGGTTCACTCTCTTGCCCATCATGTACATGCGAAATAATCCTTCCTTCCTCTCTAATAGCTGTTCCATATGGTACCCATTTTTGTTGAGAACAAATTCAAAATGGCAGTAAGTCCCTCAATTTTCGATTATTACTCTCATACCTGCTTGATCCCAGGCCGAAATTCTGCTACTTTGCTGTAAGTTGCATCAGCATCAATCACACCATTGACACGAAGCTGAAGATTGAAGCACGCCTGGTCCAACTTTCCCCATATTGATCCTTCTCCTTTCCCCATTTTCTCCTGCATCTAAATAGTGAGAGAGGAACATATACTGTAAGGCAATGGGAAGAACAATAGTACATAGAGTAACTCTTTCCTTATATCTGTTTGCCTATATCCTGAATGCATGCTTTGTTTGATCATATTTTAAATTTTACTCTATCATGAAAGCATCTCAATTGACTTTTGAACTTGGAATGATGGAATATCATTATAGATGCAAGGGATGAATGGAGAGCTTGAGGTTTGGTCATTGAGAAAATAGGGAGCAAGGTTCATTTAAATCTGGAACATTTACTGTTTAATGAAATTAATTGGAATTTTACTTCAAGAGGAACCATTCTGGGGGAGCCATTCCACTTGTTAGAGCACAGAAACACACTACCACAGAGATGGTAAAGAATATGCATTGCACCTCCCTGCTAAAAGGCCCATATGGACCTGTAAACATCATGGCTGCATGCACAGGAACCTCCATTTTAAAGTTATCTACCTTCCTGTAGAAGGAAACCAAAGAGTGGGAATTTACTCCACAGAGATGTTACATTCCCTATATGCCTTGGGGTAGGGGCAATTGGAAAAACATATAATGTAACCATTAAAATATTACATAGACAGGAAAGTTGACAAGCACAAAATTATTTCCCTGAAACAATATCATTATAGGAAAATTGCATGAGGTTGAAAGAGAGGAGCTTATTTTTTCCATCCATTTTTTAGCTCCATTTTTCTGTCCAGCACTCAATAAGCACTGATCATATCCTTCACCTTGCATGTGAATCACGAACTTTGCACATTAAAAGATAAACATTTTTAAAAAGCTGTGGAAGGGAAGTATTAAAAAAATACTCAACAAGTCTCTAAATCTGATTTAAATGAAAAAAAGAGTTTATTTTTTTTTTTCAAATGAGAAACAGTCACAATGCTGAATACTAAGGGCTATTCTCTAACTGAAACACTAAGTATATAGGACTGTTTAATAGGCTTTTTTTTCTTGAGACCAGGGACATAAGACAACAAATATAATAGGATACATAGAGAGGAAGGGTATGCCAGGTTGGTGCAGTCACTGCAACCAAGATCATGGTTCCTCAGACAAGGACATCCCTCCATGATCCTGCAGAAGGCCTTAGAGGCAGCTTATGGCTGCCTAGGCTCATGACTGCAACAAGTGATTTTTTTAAGGGGTTTAACATGGAGCTGTATCTCCTGGATGTAGTACATAGAGAAGGGTGTATTCCCCAAAAGAAAGTACATACTCCCCATGAAAACAGGTGAGTTGTTTGTTGGCAGAGAAAGAGCCAGTCAACACTAGAACTTAATCTCTTGCCTCCTGGCTTTGACTGAGATGCCCGAACCACTTGACCAACTGTTAATCAAATAGACTTACTTCTGCAATGCTCTGTTTTGCATTCCCAATATTCTGGATGGCTTCCAAGACTCTTTGAAGATTAGCTGTCACTGGATGTTCTGCAGTCCTCCCCTCACATACACTGGCCTAATTGACAAAAGATCACTTAATCACCATGTGAAGAGTACATGAATAGGTAACAAAAGAAAAACTCCTCACAGGTCTCATCTTAGGAGGAGGGACAGGTAAGACTTGAATGAACAAGGCATCAGTTGGATATTCCCATTTAGTTGTATTCAAATCCTTGGAAAACATGGGCACAGCAATTTGGAATGCCTCTGCATCTGTTTTCCAAACTTCATGAAAATGAGACCTGAAGCAAACAGAGGCAACACCCTTCATGAGCAGACATGAAATTTGTGCAGGCCAGGATCATTAATAACATCAGGTGAAGCAGCAGGGTGGTCTTCAAACAAGATCAGAGGAATGCCTAGTTCTTCATTCAAGCAGAACCATCTTTGAAGCAAAACATACAAAGCCCTTGATGAGATTAATCCAGACTTTCCTCTCAGTCTTCTTAAGATTCCTCTTACATTGTCTTGATTTTGAATTAACCAAAAGTTTGCCACTCCTCCTTTTTTCTTTGTTGTTCAAAAATATCCCACACTTGGATCAGATGATAAAAGATAAAATAGCAAGAGACAACCTACTGTCACATAAAGCAAGTGAACTTATCACCAAGAGAAAATTTATGTTTTCTAAAAAGATATAAAAATAAGTATCATCCTTTACTCTAAAAGTACTTGAAATATGCTTCACATGAGACCATCCAAAGTCTATTGAGAAGCATATAAAAAAAAAGGCTTCAAATTATTGCCTTCCTTTGGAACATACTCCTAAAAGACAATATAAATTCAAGTCAAAGAGTTAAAACCAAATGGAACATATTATTGAAGGTGGTGATAGTGTTACTGAAAGTGCAAAGAATGGAGTGAAGGCAATGTGCTCTGTGACAGGAATCATGAGGATTATAATCATAGGAGAAATACAGGACAGTGTGAAATCTGGCAGCTAAGTTGTTGGGCTTACAATTCACAAAGAAGGGAATCCAAAACCTCAGCTCATATGGGACAGGCTTTGTCATGCTTAGTTCAGAGTCTACTTCCCAAGGTTCTCTTTCTGCATTCAAGGCCATCCTCTCTTTCCTAACTCCAAAGTTCTCAGAATTAGATTAACAGGTTGACCACCATGGGGCACACCGGTGCGCCTCACTGAGTCCCTTTTCCTGCGCCATGAGGCTCATTCCATCTCTTTTCCTTTTTTGTACCTCATGCTTCACCCATGCACCTCAGTGCTGCAGAGATTTTGTGAGGTCGTGGGGCAGGAAAGTGAACTATGTTCATGGACTGATCTTTCCTCAATTACATTTACCCTTACAGGGGGTTCTGAAAATAAATGTAGTGAGGCCTACTGATACTCCTCATGGTGCAGGGAAGTCAGCTTCTTGGTCATGGTGAAGGGTACACATGAGTAGACTTACAAAGAGACCACTTAGAGATCACTAAGAGACTTACAATTCAATCAATGTAGTATTTTCTTCAATATTTCTCTCTCTCATCTCTCCTAGGAACTGTTTAATGGAATTTACAAGTTCTACAAATTACAAGTACTTGCAAGGGTCGTGTCTTTTTGTTGCACTGCTGGCTCTTCACACAACTACAACATGACCCTTTTCATTACTTGTAACTTGTGGAACTTGTAAATTCCATGAAACAGGCCCCTGATGCATCCTTACCATTTCACATTTCACTAATTGCAAGAGAAGCAATGAACTGTGCCTAAAATAATAAAACCAGCGCAAAACCTGCAGAAATGCTTCCTACCGTATGATTGGTGGTTCTACAATCCAGGGAAGTACTCTAACGTGTTACGTCACAGACAGCTATGAAGCAAGCAGTGTCAAAGGTGCTGTGCATGAATTTCAATTCAAATGGGGTAAACTTACAGAATGGCCCCATATGGTGTTAAAACTTGTGAGGCCCACCAGTGGCCCTCCTGGTGTGATAAACCTAATTGCATTTCACACGCCATGAGGCACACTGGTGCACCTCACTAAAAAGTCAGCAAAATATCACTTAAAATTGCAAATAGTATGGGATGATCAAAGTATGTTGTTAAGGAGTCTCCTAGGAATATAAAAATGACTTTAGTGCAGAAAGTCACCGGGTCTATATAGCTGTGGCAGTCAACCCCAGTTAAATTTGGCAAATGGTTAGATTATTTTGAAAATAGCCGACATACAAGAAACATAGGTCTGTACTTCAAGCAGAGGCAAAAAAAGTAAGTTTTAATTTGGTCATGGGGGCACAACATGGCCCCCACCCCCCCAGATGCTAACCTGACTACACAGTTATTACAATGTCACCACCCTCTTTTGATTGGCCATAACTTTTCAAAGGACAGTTTGATGCAGTTGACACTTGAAAGAGAGGTTCATGAGACTAATTAGTTTTTCACATACTGCAAGATGGCTCTGCATGCTGATAAAAGGGCACTGTTGTTGACTGGAGGGCCCCCTATCTTCATCCTATGCCACTTTTTAGGTAGGGAAAAAAAAACTTTACAAGCCCATGAGCCTCTCTGCCTAATATCAGTTGCATCTGAGGGCCCTTTCAAAAGGTATGGTCTTAAAACTAGTTTTTTAAATATGAATTCAGTCAAAAATCGTTTAAAGACCAAAACTGGGCAAACTAATTGAATTTTAAGATGATGGAGCATAGACCATTACTGCACTTGAGGTGCAATGATCCACCAGTAAACTTTATAACAGGACAATGCAAGGCTCAGAATTGTTCTGAAAAAATCAGACAATCATCTCAACACCTTGTCCAATATCAAGAGTTTAGGAATCTTATCAGTTTTGCTTGAATATAAGAATCTTGCTTTCTCTCATGGAAAAGGGTAGTGCTTTTTTTCAAATCACCCTATACATTTTTGATCCCAAAATGTATGATTCATTCATAAATTTGATCCAGATATGGCATCCGGTTGGTGTATGAAGGAGCAAAAAGCGATCTACACTTGTTTGAATATATAGGTACTTCATTATACCTGATCTTCACAGCAGTCAGGAAAGTCCTCTGAGGTCCAGCTGATTTCCCTTGATTCTTCTCACCTCTGGCAAACCTACACATTGGAATATGGAGGTATAGGACACTGCAAATCTCTCCTGTCACATGTTTACAATCTCCACCACTAGGATTTGAAAAAGCAAGCTATAAGGAGGCAAACCTTTCCTCGGACATTATCCGTCCCCCATCTACAAGGAGCTTTGGAGATGTCTTCCCACAAGCCTTGCATTTCAGATTCTTGCAACATTCCAAAAGGAAGTTTTGCACAACCTGATTGTACTCAGTGACAATATTTCGACTTGTACGGGAACACTTCTTCCAATGGTCTGCATAATATAAGGACAAAGGCATTATGGTACTGCTCAAACTGTAGTGACTTTTTGGTGCAATTCAAGGTAAAACCTAAGTTATTCAAGCGTGGGTAAATAGGGTGAAGGAGTTGGCAAAAAGCAATTAAATACAAATATGAAAGCCATTTTGAACTGAGTGGTCATAGAGGCCATAGTCTTGGATAAAAACTCAAATAGCTTATAAGTGATCATGGAAATATCAAACCAACACCATGAAGACTCAGGAAATACCTGAACAGAGGGCATCAACATAAGCATGAATCTGCTGCATTGGCCTCAAAGAAGTGTCAATAACAATTCCTGTTTCATTGATTGGAAGTTCTATGTCTGGTCCAGTTGCAGCAACATGAACCCATTGTGGAACCTCCATAGCCTCAGAAAGATATCCTGCTTGCAGCAACCTTGACTGCAGGACGAATCCTTCTCGAGTGGTTTCTACAATTAAGAAGACAAAAACGTGTCACCAAGTAATGTAGGAAGTGATAATCAGGTACAAAAATGTGAGGTTCACTTGCCTGGGACTTTGAATTTATGACAGCTGAAACATGTTGCTCGGAGTAGACGGACAACAATTTGGAAACAGAGAGGATTGATGACAGGGAGAGGAAGCTCTATGTAGCCTAAATGTCCAGGACACCAAGACAAAGTTTGGTTGCATGTTGCACATCTTTCTTCACCTTCCAGTCTAGAAGGACCTGCACAAAATACAATCAAAGGGTAAAAGCAGAGCATAAGAGGATAAGGCCTTAAGGCTGAAACCTCCTTTAGTTAAGGGTCCTTTAAGAATATATGGATTCCTTCAGGGAGAAAAAGACCTAAAGTTATTTTGCTTAAAGGCCCTTTTATCTTCCCTAAATCAGGTTTGTGCATTTTGGCCTCAGTCATCAAATAATCTCAGATTCTCTGATTAGTTTCTCATTTCAACTGATTCTATACAACCAATTTATGTTTTTAAGTTTTTGAAATTTGAAGGATATTGATGGCAGGGAGGAATTTATCATCCAGTCCAGATAGAATCCATTTAACATCTTTGCCAGCAGGCTACATTTCTGTGATTTTCCCTGCAGATCAATAAGGAGAAATACACCATGAAACAAAAGGGAAAGGTCACACATGAGACACGCCATATCAACCATGTTAAAGGGAAATTTACAAACCTAAGGGAAGTAAATGAGCACAGTAGAGATTGAATGCCTATAACTAATTTTGACTAATAAAGTTTAAAGTAAATAAGTCATTATTTTATTTTCATTTTTGGTCTGGAAAAAGACATAAAAAATGAACAAATTAAAATAGCCATTGGTTCAAACAATTTTTTGCAGGGCAGGTTGTCAACATGACAACCAGCAATTCAGCATGTTTGTATATTTCAATTTCCCCCAATAATCACTCCTAAAACGGAGTTAAAGGCAATTCTACATTCTTATTTAATATCTGGATTTGACATTTTCAAATACTGTATATGTGAGCTTCCAAATCTCACAAAGTTCGAAGTACAATTGAAATCTTATCAGAAAGAAAGTGATGTACATTGAGTCTACTATAACAATTGAACATGTAGAGAACAAACTAGTTCTTTAGAAACTGTTTTGCACATGAGTGGGATCAATTATTTCAAAGAGCTCTCACTGAGGAAATGGTTTTGTGAGGGAACACATTCCTGAAACTACTGCACACTAAAGAGGGTCTTAAGACTTTCCATGCTCCTATATTAAGGAAATGTCATGGGCCTCATGGTGTATGGGTTTAAGGTAGTGAGATCCCTTTAGAGCTACTTTTGACTCTAATGAAGATCGGAGTGAGAACAATACATCATTGGAAAATGCAGGGAACTTTTCTGTTTCGATTATATAAATTATGCTAATTAGATACCAATATGGCCGAAGTATCACCCAAATCCAAGCCATCTTTGAGGCAGCATTTCTCACGTATTAATGATTCTGAACTCACGAAACTCAAGCAATACATTGATCAAATATGTTTTCAAGTCCTGATTGTTTCAGATTTTCGAAGAAAATATATGCAAAGAATTCTCAGCTGACTGAGTAAATTTTCAGCATTTCCCTCCTAAATATATACGCAAAACAGCGAAAAAATGTGTATTTTGGAAACATTTAATAAACGCCACGATCATTCCCTGAGGAGGCATTTGAAGTCCCTTAGGCAAAAAAATTACTTATGAAGGTACGAAATCAACGAAGTTATGGCGTCTCAAAGATTACTGTCCATGATGAAAGGCGTTTACTGAGAAAACCCGAAGGAAAAGATAAAGTCGAATTTTACTCATCGATCTCGATGTCTAATGAGCACATGCCACAAATTACCCTCAAAATCCTCATATTCGTCACGAAAACCTTTTCTCATCGCTCGCAACACTTTCGGCATTTTTTTTTTACCGGCTACGACGATTTTTGGCTGAGTGGTACAAACGGATCGGATCACAGTCTTTAGCACTCTCCCCTGCCACCCATGAGGCACTCCCAGTTGCTCAAATAATCTTAAAACAGCAATGTTGCCGTCATTGAAGTGACTGACAGCCGAGTAGACGACCTCCTCGATCGTTTTGTGGCCTACAAATACTTCTTTATTACACCCCTCCTAAATAAGCTTATTCAAACATTCATTTGTGCTTTGTGTTTCGCCATGCGGGCATTTCGCGAGTAGCTCCGATGATGCAAGTGAGTCGTAAATAGGGCCTACCAGTTCTACAAAATCTTCGACTTACTTTTTGTGCAAATATTCAATACAAATGGTCGTATCCAAGAGCCAAAGGCGTTGCGATGGAGACGATGCTTTTGATCATCATCACTAATTAACCATTTAGCAAAAATAAAGTTTTTCTAATTTTTCCATCGCACATCGACAGAGCAGTGAAAATACTACAGCCTGAACCAAATTTTGGGAAAACGCTATTTTTCATGAAAATCGACTTTTAAATGGGGGTGTGCTACCTTAACAAACAGGGTTTAACCAAATCTGAGACAGCTAATCTTCGAAAGCTTGAAAATTGTTCCACACTTCCATGAAAATCCTCTTAAATTGGGTGCTTTTCAAAAGTAATGTCACTGTATTTATTTCAAGTTAGCCGTGACAGAAATAAGGTTTACATTGAATATAAGTGTTTAGCCATGTCACCCAAGTATGTCCTATTTTTCTATGTAACCTCCCGTTATTTTCCGTGCATTTTCTCCATCGCTTAACAAGGGCATTGAAGCCTGCAGTATAAAATTCTGGTGATTGTGCCTTCACCCACCCTTGAACGGCATGTTTCATGGAATCAGCACTTGCAAAGTGCACATCGCAAAGGGATTCCTCCATACGACAGAAGAAGCGGAAGTCACTAGGTGCTAAGTCAGGACTGTACGGCAGAATAGTTTTCCATCCTATATTCTGCATGGCATCAATTACCCGAGTTTTACCATGCAGGCTTCGACGCCAATTTTAAGCGCGGGAGGAAATACGTGGAACATGAAGGAGGTTATGTAGAAAAAGAGGAGATGCATGTGTAACATGGTTAAACACTTGTATTTAGTTTGAACATTATATAAGTAATGGTGAACTCGGAATATATTCAGTGACATTACTTTTGAAAACACCCCCATTCATAATTTTAAAAGAAATAAATACTGCTGCCAATAACACAAGCCCAAAGAGGGAGCAGAATCAACATGTAGTAAAAACAATGAAATTGCAACACAAATGAGCACCAGAATGATACTGATATGATTGCAGATTGTCCTAAAAGAAGAGACAGTTGGTTGTGCGTCAAGATAGATTCAAAAGGGATATGGGAAGGGGAGGGGGGGGGGGGGGGGAAGTAGGTAGGGCAAAATTGTGATTTCCGCAACGACTTTGAATCCCAACTATTGGTTCCCTCGTTTCACAGGGGCTAATGATGTCCGTGTACACAGGGCCATGTATTTATACAGATACCTTCGTTGAAACTTGAGGAAAGGACGAATCGGGTGACCCGAAACACGGAAGGCTATCTCTCATCGGTCGGTCGAGAGTTCATTTTTCTCGTGACCACCTTTCCTCTTCTGCTAAAGCTGCAACTCTTCTGGGAGTCCCTCAAACCTTTCTTCTTCCTCGCTCCCTCGCCCTTCAAAGGCGAAGCTATTAGTTTTCAGGTGCTTACACTTTGGCAATGATGGTAATTAAAACCACAGTTCTTTCCAGAGTTCGGGCATAAAGTATAAAACAACATTCTAACCGGAAGAAAAATACAGAAGGACGTCTCCGAAGTTCTCAAACAGAGAGGACACCTTTCATCTTTTTTTTAAGTGTTTTTCTTTGACGAGGGAGAATGGGGGCCTCAAGACGTGTTTAATCGGGGAAGAATCCCTATCGAATACCGTAAAATTTTTTTTACCGTAAAATATCCTTATATTTCAAACAAATTAATTTAGCATACTCTCGATATCCAATGTTGAAAAACTATTTTCCCTAAAATGGTGGCTTACATGCACTCTGCCCTGAAGTGGACTTATCGGACAAGAATATCTCCGTTAAGCAAAATTGTTGGGATTCCGGCCCCAAAAGAATGGGCCACCCCTCTTATATTAACATTTACGGATGTTCGTGGCATTCCACACATTTTGAAGGCCCGTCGCAATCCAATCTGCCAGACTTTACGGGATTGATTACCGCATCTACAGGGTGGGCCAAAAAAAAAAATTAGGTTATCTTAAACACTTCACAGAGTAGTTTCTCGAAATTTTGAAAACACTGCATTAAGGTCTCTATATGAAACATTAATCTTGCTTTCCACTGATGTCAAAAGATTTAAGGTCCAATTCGTCATTCCGATGCAGTTGCGCACATTGTAATAGAGGTAGCGCTTGAAAAATGCACTTACCAGTAACCTACAAGATGTGCTCCAGGTGACGCCCATTCACTCGCTTATGGCGAGTAAGCGACCTCTTGCATTCACTAGCTCCCATCTCGGCATGGCACCAACTTTTCCAGCGCCATCTCTCATGCTCTTTACCTAACTGCGTGGAAATCATGCGACGAATTCTGTTGACATCATTGGAAAGCTGAATAAATGTTCTATACGGAGGCGCAGTAGCAATTTTAGCAAATTTTTTGGGGCCAGTGCTGTGGAGTGATAAAGATAACCGAAGCTTTTTTTGGCTCACCCAGTAGATCTTCCTGCGAATATTTCTTGCTTGTCCTTTCCTTCTCGCTGATGGTTGTAGGTTATTTATTTCGTCCTTAGGCTCTTGCTGCGTTTCTGGTTTTATCTTTGGGTTTTCCCATTTATATGCAAAAGACAGTATCACAATTCATGGCATAGGCAACTACGAATTGAAAGTCGGATGTGACCTGCATGAGCACGTCAGAAGACTGAACAATACGAGTACGAAATTAAAAACCTTGAAATAAAACATCAGAATACAGGAAATGTTTAAAAAAGAAGTTACGGAATTCAT